GTGTGTGTGTTGTGTGCGTGCGCGTGTGTGTGTGTGTGTGTGTGTGTGTGTGTGTGTGTATCAATAACCTAGTTTGTAAAAAAATTATCATCCTTCTCTTCCACTAAACTATCATTCTTTTGTCTTAATGTTAAACGCTTGCCTCAGTAACGATGTATAATAAATATCTTTAAACTTCGAAGCCTTTCATTAATCCGTCATTCACGTTATTTATTTTATCATCTCAGTTTTTTTTGTAGAAATTGGATAAATGAGTTAATAAAAACGTTTACACAGGTAGCAATTTTTTTCTGTGAAATCTTGTTCTATAAATCGCCTTTTCTCATTTATTTTTCGTGATTAAAATTCTGAATACGATTATTTGATGGTTTCAAATTATGGTAGAGTGTCGAAGATGTTCCAGGGAATGATTCTTAACCAGTGGTTCCCAACACTGGTACACCAGTGGTTGATTAATATTGTTACTCATCACTGGTACACCAGTGGTTGTTTAATACTGTTACCCAACACTGGTACACCAGTTGTAGCTTGACCACTGATTCCCAACACTGGTACATCAGTGGTTGCTTGATCACTGATCATATCACGTGTGAAAGACCCGTGTCATCAGGTGCTTTGCTGATTCCTGACGAACAAAACATCATTGTGAGTGTGATGTAAAAGCAGACGAAACGTTTCACACATTTCAGGACACCATGAGTCCCGCTAATCTTGGATCATTAGGCTTCGAGACTTGGGTGTGAATATCCCAAGGGAGAATACCTGTGGTCTGGCTTCCCAGGTCTTATTGTCTGAGCAAGCGAATATCCATAAACTAGGAGATAATAATAATATAATATTAATATCTTTATTTTCTACAAGTACATGTACAAGGTATACAGTCCTAGCTGACGTCAATGACATACTACTATACAGAAAGCCGCTTGTTATACAGAGCATTTAGGGCAAATTAGGTCAATTTTGTTCCAGGACGCGACCCACACCAGTCGACTAACATCCAGGTACCCATTTTACTGATGGATGAACAAGGTCAGCAGGTGTCTTATGGAAACACGTTCTAATGTTTTCCAACTGTACTGGGGATCGACCTCTGGACCTCAGTGTGTGTGTGAGATGAGTGCTCTAGCAGTCAAGCTACAGGACACCTAGATAGTGTTAATGTTGTCACTCTGGTGATTTGCTAGCCATGGAAAGTGACCCTCAGACCTTGGAGTAACAGGGGGTGGGTGTCTGGAGGTCTTTATAAGCCCAGGGAAACAGACCGGCGGACCTAATACAGAAAACAGCTAAGAGGGAGAATTCTGGAAGAGATCTGACCGGTGTGCAGAGCTATGTAGAACTTGGGGCAGTGGACTGACAGAGGTCAGTACTTTGGCTGAGGAACGAGAACTGGAGACTCTGTTGGAGATCTTAGGAGAGAGAGCTGTAGCCAATGTGTGGTCTTTGGACCTGTTACTAGAGACTGACTGAGTTCCCAGAGGTGACCTGTCCTCCTGATCTAATATACTGTAAGTGTATATTCATTTTGACATAATTGTGTATTCCCTATCTCGATATATTCTCCACGTATCTTAATATCCAATCCAGTTTCTCCCTTCCCAAGTATATTATTGTACTATGATTTAATAATAAAACTGTATTTAAGTGGAATAATATATTCACTGTCCCTATCTTTATCTTCATTGTATTTATTATCTTTTCTTATAAGGTCTTCACATCTACATCAGCTGTGTCATCACAAGCTGATAAAAACGTAACTAAATAAAAGATTTGTTAGATGGATTATTGTCACACCTTGTGTCATTATGTACTGAAATGCGAAAAAAATAATGAATTCAGAGACAACTCATAAATGTTCACGAAATGTCAGAAAATTCTGGTATCATATTATCAGCCAATATGGAAAAATACAATGACTTTGCCTGTAGTAAATAACCTATAACCACTTTACCCTGTGATCGATACCATGCCTAACCCTTCTAGGGTAGGGTAGGTGCCTGAGCCCGAGCCTTTAGCTCATAAGACTGTCATTCCCATTTGCCCCCTTGGGGCGGGGATGGCACACCAGAGAGGCCTAGCTTGTGGCTAGGCATGGGGACAGTTGGTCCCAAAGATGAGGAGGTACTTGTGCCGCCTCCCATGGGAGACTTAGGTCTCAGACACTCCCTAAAGAGGGAGCCAAGGCCGGGCCACCACTTGGAAAAGGCCCGGGCCGGGAGAATACCGGCTAATCTAACTAACTTTACCCTGTCTGAAATCAATCGTACTTTACTAAAATATGAAGTAATGTAATTCAAAATCACACACAATCTGTAAAGTGGTAAACCCCGGAATGGGTGGGATTTAAACCAAGTGAGTCGTAACACTCCAAGCCAGTGCGTAAGCCACTGGACGGAGCCTCACCCAACAAATTATATTTCTATACATCACATTAATGTTTTTGTGACTGAAATGATGTCTTCATCAACAACTCATTACCGGTACACTTGTGACCAAATCATAAACTTGTAAATAGTGCATTACCATCAGCATGCTTAGCTATTAAAGCACTGGGCACCAGACTCTGGATCCATTATATGCCTCTGTAGTGGTTTTACTGCCACTCACAATATGGGTAACGGGTGCGTAATACTAATTAACTAATGTATAGAAGTGTCAGATAGCTAAAGGGACGCTTATCAGTTACGTCACAAGATGTCATACCCATCCTGTGGGTGGTGGTCAAAGTATTACAGAGGTACATAATGGGTCCAGAGACTAGGCCGCAAAGTTTTGATAGCTGAACGTTACCTTTGTAACTTGTTCAGCAATAATGCGGTCCAGTCCCTGGACCCGTTATGTACCTCTGTAATTCTTTGACTGCCGCCCACAGGATGGGCATGTGGTGCATAATAAAGATGTTGAAGACTGGCTGTCTTCAAGAAGGCACTGGACAGGCACCTAAAGTCAGTACCTAACTAGCCGGTCTGTAGTTCGTACGTCAGTTTGCGTGTGGCCAGCAGTAACAGCCTGGTTGATCAGACCCTGATCCACCACGAGGCTTGGTCTCAGACCGAGCCGCAGGGGCGATGACCCCCGAAACCCTCTCCAGGTAAACTCCAGGTAAACGCCTTCCTCCTCCTCCTCCTCCTCCTTCCAAGACACTCCAGGGCCACACACCACCAACTCCACCCCCATCCCAACAAACTCCATCCCACTTCCCTCCCTCCACCCGCGACCAAACTGTCTGATATAACTGACTCAAACCAGGTGTCTCTTATCAACGTGTTTTGTTTTCTCTGTTCTGGCAAATGTATCAGTGTTTAGATATCTGAAACCCATACAATCACACACACACAATTTAAGAAGGACATAGCAACCAAGACCAAGCCTAAACAAAAACTGCTTCGCAGAAAAACAACAGAAAAAAGACCAGGTAATTCAACCGAAGAAAGAAGGAGGAGAGCTCACGGAGAATGACAAGGAAGTTTATGCCATACTGACCAAAGGATTTAAAGAGTTCTTCTCAGTGGAAACAGGGGCCGTGCCAAGAAATCTAGAGATAAGAGTGCACCAGCAGGTACTGGACACCATACACACAACTGGAGAAGAGTTAAATTATTTTTTTTGATGGAGTTGGATAAATTAAAGTTGGTGGGACCTGACAGTGTCACCATGAATTCTGCAAGACGGAGCAGAAGCACTGTCTAAACCAAGTGAGCTAAACCCGATGATAGACCTACCTGGAGTTCATTACCTTTGTAAATTGTGAATTCATTACCTCTGTAACTTGCTCAGCTATCAAGACTTTGAGGCCCAGTCCCTGGACCCATTATGTACCTCTGTAATCTTTTGACTACCGCCCACAGGATGGGTATGGGGTGCATAATAAACATATTAAACTAACTAACTACTGGAGGATAGATATTCCCCAGGGTGACATACCTGGAGTATACCTGGGGAGCGTTTCGGGATCAACTCCCCTGCAGCCCGGTTTGTGATCAGGCCTCCTGGTGGATCAGGGCCTGATTATCCAGGCTGTTACTGCTGGCCGCATGCAAACCGACGTACAAACCGCAGCCTGGCTGATCAGGTTTTGACTTTAGGTGCCTGTCCAGCGCCTTCTTGAAGACAGCCATGGGTCTATACTAACAATAAACAGGAGAGTGGGCAGAGTCAGATTGTTTGTGAGGCGGGAAACAGGAACACGAGGGCTCAGCAGGAAGGTAAAAACAAGGAATGGTCACAAGAGCACTAGAAAATATTTCTTCAGTCTCAGAGTGGTTAAGAAGTGGAAAGAGCTGCAGAGTGATGTGGTGGAGGCTGGATCCTACACAGCTTTGTGAATAGATATGACAGGGGCCACACAGCTAGGAGAGAGTGAGCCCAGTACCAGCCACCGGAGGGGTGGGATCGGGAGCTGACCTGGAGTTTACCTGGAGAGAGTTCCGGTGGTCAACGCCCCCGCGGCCCGGTCTGTGACCAGGCCTCCTGGTGGATCAGAGCCTGATCAACCAGGCTGTTACTGCTGGTTGCACGCAAACCAACGTACGAGCCACAGCCCGGCTGATCAGGAACCGACTTTAGGTGCTTGTCCAGTGCCAGCTTGAAGACTGAGACTCAACCCTTGCCACCACAAATAGGTAAGTGTATTTAGGAAGTACTCACTACTAGAGGTCTACGAAAGAGTAACAAAGATTCAACAGGAAAGAGAGGGAAGCATTGCCTTCATATATTCCTGGTACCTCCCTTGAATGGAAGGCACAACTTACATTCTGCATAATTAATGTATATTATAGAGCCCAGAGCCCAGAAAGTCAATGCCCTATAGAGGATGTTCCACCGGATGACATAAATACCAAGACTGTTACGACACATCAGTACTCCAGCTAATCACAGTGTCAATATTTCGTCATTTGTAAACATCCTTCATGATTCATAATGGGTTTACCATCCATCCCTGGTGTACTGGACGTTGAGTCAATACCGTAAGTGACAACTTTAGCGATATCAGCCAGGGAACACTGTGATTGTTGTGGTGGTGGTGATAACAGGACTTTAGGTCTGTGGTGTTCATCTCGTCACCTGTAGTATTCCTATCACTTGGCACCGAGACACTCCGGGAGTTTGTATAAAAGCAGTGATGTGTAATTATCTATTCGTAATTACAAATTTGTAGCTACAGGAACGGAGCTAAGAACGTCCACCTGGGAAAGTTCTTAAGACGATGGGATATTCCTCAGAATGTCCATTTGGGAAAAGTCTGAAGCCGCTGGGGGATTTTAATAATCGACTCGTGCTTCTGTCCCCGAGGCGCCAGTAGCCACACTGTGCCACACTGAGTATTGAGAAAACATTGTGCAATAACTGTGAAGGGAGTGCTAGCGTTACTCACCCTGATGTGGTGTGTGGAAAACTTGAATGACAACGCCACCTTCAGGTACCAAGATCTAGCTGAGTTATTGTTGATCATACTCGTGTCTTGTCTTCAGCAGGATATTACCGCGAGGCGTCACTGCCAAGTGATGAGGTTGCAAGAGTCACGCTTCCTTCATAATTTGCATCTAGTTTCCGATCGACGATATGGGCTAACTTGATAAATGTTTATCTACTGTTTTACATACCGTATGGAAATGTTCGAAGAATTGAAGTCCGGAAGAAATTTTGGAAAGTGTAGAAATTCCGGTGATATGAGACAGTTGCGTCGAACACTACACGTCCCTTCGTTTCACATTCCTGTAAGATCATAACATTCTGTAAAAAATAGAATACCATTTACATGTGTGCGTAACACACACACACACACACACACACACACACACACAATATAAATAATATATATATATATATATATATATATATATATATATATATATATATATATATATATATTATATATATATATATATATATATATATATATATATATATATATATATATATATATTATATATATATATATAATATATAGAAGTTGCTTAACTGTTGCCTATGTGTCTTACCTTACAAAGGTAATAAAAAACTCCAGGTAGATCTGGTCACAATCTTGATTCTACGTTTGCTATACTCCACATATCTGGCAACTGTCTCTTATCCATTGGGTTGTAGATCTCAGTTATTGGTTTAGCGTTTCTGGTCCCTCTCGTGGTACTTTGATCCCATCGTTTTCATGTATCCAACATACTTAAAAGTTTGTGTACCTCTATATTCTATTGTGGTATAGTGTCCAGTACCCGTTGGTGTGTCATATTTCTTTTACTCTTTGGTGTTTCCACTGAGAATACCTATTTAGATTATTTGTTCAATGCTTCGCGGACATCCTAGTTTGTAATTTTTCGTGACATCGCCTTTCCTCTTGCAGTTTTATCACCTAGTTACTGTCACCTCATGTGCCTGTGAGGCAGCTTCGGCTCGGACTTGGCTTTTCCCCTCAACGGTATTCTCAAGTTGTCACTCAGGTGTGTACTCACGTGGTTGTATTCACCTAGTTGTACTCACCTATTTGTGGTTGCAGGAATCGAGTTATAGCTCCTGGCCCTGCCTCTTCACTGGTCGCTACTAGGTCCTCTCTCTCCCTGCTCCATGATTTTTAGATTTAGATTTTGCCACCGAAGTGGCTAGTTTATTGTGCACCCCATATCCATCCTGTGGACGGTAGCGCGAGAGCATATGGATACACAAAAGGCCTAGGAACTAGGCCCCAAAGGGTTAACAGGAATACATATGGATTTATATCTACATATCTATAGTTCACTTATCTGTTACAAGCAAATTTAGGAAATTTGCTTAGTATATCTGGTATCTTATTTTCATTAATATAGTATCTTGACATGTCACATAGGTTATTATACTGTCTGTCTCTGTATTCCTCAATAATGGACAATTAAGCACATAGTGTTCAAGAGAGTGACATATGCCTGATACATAATTTACATTTAGTTTGATATCATCTGTGTGTCTCCCAAACTGCCAGAAGTACTTGTAACCAAGCCTAAGCCTGGCCACTACAACATCAGTCAGTCTGTTCACATTGCAAGTTGCTCCATAAACATACTTATCTACGTTCATGTTATCATAGTGGGTTATAGATCTACTCAGGCTTCTAACTGCATTCCTATAACAATCATTTTCATTATTTACTTCTCTCCTAATATTATTCCTAATGCTAGACACAGTTATACCAAAGTTATATTCTACATTCTCCTTCTCGATACTCTTCTTGGCTAACATATCAACTTTATCATGAAGGAGTAATCCAATGTGTGATGGGATCCATAGCAATTGTACATTAATTCCTTTGTCCCTGCTCCATGAGCAAGTAGAGAGAGGACAACTCTATGACTGAAGAAATACAACTCTATGACTGAAGAAATACTTTCTAACATCCCTTTGACTCATCTGAGTCATCAACTTCCAATTGTGACCCCTTGTTTCTGTGTCTCATCTCTGAAACATCCAGTCTCTGTCCACCCTGTCAATTCCTCGTAGTATTTTGTATGTCGTTATCACGTCTCCCCTAATCCTCCTGTCCAGTATAGGGACAGGACATAACCTAGGAGTATACCTACGTATAGAGGAAAATGGTCCTAATATTGGCTTTTAGAATTTGAGCTTCATGGTTTAGTTGTCCAGGAAGCTACATAATTTTTTTCGGGTGATGCTTGGATTTAGATTTTTAGATTTTGCCACCGAAGTGGCTAGTGTATTGCGCACCCCATATCCATCTTGTGGACAGTAGCGCAAGAGCATATGGATGCACAAAAGGCCCAGGAACTAGGTCCCAAAGGGTTAACAGGAATACATATGGATTTATATCTACATATCTATGCTTGGGAAGATGAAATTGTTCAATATTCTGTACTCTCTCTCTCATTCTGATAATAACAAATGCCTTTTCCACGTCCTTGGAGACGAGTGTTGTTTTGAGGTCTTCAAGCTCAGTGCGTCTTGCGTTGACCTGCCTTGTCTGAATCCGAATTATCTGATGAGAAAAACATCACAGCGACCAGTCATAGCCTAGTCCAGCCACGGTATTGAGATTCATTTTTCTTCAGGGAGTTAATAATTTCAAGGTGTTTCCGTAGGTGCTGGTTGATAAGTCTTTCAAACATTTTTCCAAAGTGTTTCAAGTAATTTATAAGTCATGTGACCTTTTGAATTTTGGATTTATAAAAAAAAATATGACTTTTACACTCGAGTTGGTGAGCCTTCATTAGGCTTTCAATAGATATTTTTTTTTTTTTTTTTTGCAGTGGGAGTGGGGAGGCAGATATTACGGACACTAAAGTACATTGTGAAGGGTTGACAGTACAATCAAAACATTCATTATATTACTGGCATATAATAAGTACAAGTAGACTAATAAATGTACAACGACCAGGAATCTTTATTATTATTAATAAACACAACCAGGCGTTGCACTTTTGTTTTAATTACTTAAGTCAATTATACAATTTAAATTGAAAATATTTATTTATTTATGTCTTTGCAAATACGTAGTACATTGAGAAACCATACCACGGGTAGGTATAGAACCCGCGGTCAGAGAGTCTCAAAACTCCAGACCGTCGGGTTAGCCACTGGACCAGCTAGCCACAATAAGATTCGTCCAACTAGGTATGTTTCTGCACCATAGGAAGGTTAGCATTGGCCACCACTGTGACCACAAATGCAAGTTTTTACAGACGAATCTCCAGCTAGCGTGGCCGTGACGAACTCTAGCTCAAGTCCCCTCAAAGCCGTCAACATGACTCACGAAATTGTAATGACACGGGCTAGATTTTGAGACTCTCTGATCGTAGGTTCTATCCCCACCCGTGGTATGGTTTGTTTGCAATCGTGTCATTAAGATTTCGTGAGTACATTAAGATTTTGTATTTACAATAATGGATTGCAATGCAAAGAGAGCCTCTATTATGCTTAGGCATTATGGGCCGACTTAACATTATTGGCTTACAGTCTACTTAACACTAAGAATTATGTCATAGCTGTACAATAGAATATTAATTATATCATAGTTGTACAATAGATTATTAATTATAAGTGAATCTAATTTATATAAGACAAAAGATATATTCATATATTAAAAAAAATGCTTTTGTGAAAACAATGATTCAAATATATTCCTGTCAACAATGGATAAAAGGTTCAATGTGATTGTTGAAGTTATGATGTGGGAGTACATAGGTGAGTAAATGTGTACTGAGTATTTAGCATTTAGTCTAGGGTGATTAAGTGGCTTTTGAGAAGAGTCTTAAATTGATTTTTCAGACTGGGTTACTTTAGTATCTTCTGGTAATGAATTCCAAATTTTGGGGCCCTTTATGTGCATAGAGTTTTTACACAGTGTGATATGGACACGAGGTATATCAAGAAGAAGTCTGTGTCTTGTGTTATGGCCATGTGTCCTGCTAAGGTTGGTGAGGAGAAGTTTGAGTGGAGGGTTTATATTTGCGTGTATTGTTCTGTGTGTGTAGTAAGCATATGAATAAGTATGGATGTTCTTAATGGTGAGCAAATTCAAACTTTTGAAAATTGGTGGAGTATGCTAGCGGGAGTGGGAATTTGTTATCATTCTTACTGCTGCCTTTTGCTGGGTTATTAGAGGTCTTAGGTGATTGAATGTTGTTGATCCCCATGCACAAATTCCGTAGGTGAGGTAAGAGTATATGAGTGAATGGTACAGTGCCAGGAGAGCTAATTGTGGAACGTAGTACCTTATCTTTGGTACTTATTCCTGCAAGAACTCCGAAAGAAATGAAAAATTCCATAAGTTTGGGGATTATTTAGAGTTTATTTAAGTACACAGCACAATTTTATGTGACTACAGTTGTCTTGCATTAAAATATATGAATATAATACCCATGATAACAACCAAAAAAAGTCAAGGTGACTTATTTCCTCCCGAGTTTTTTATTTATTTTCACGGGTCTTGACCTATTTCTATTCAGGTCTTTGTAGAAATAAGTTTATTTAGGTATATAACACAATATTATATTAATTACAATAATCTTACATAGAATAATATGTCTAAACTACCCGGGATAACACAATAAAATAAAGTCAACATGACTCAAATTCGAAATGTTATAACTTTAGATACAGGCATACATAAGTACAATTATCATACATAAGAAGATAAGATCAACAGCCTGGTTGATCAGGTTCTGGTATACCAGGAGGCCTGGTCACATGCCGGGCCACGGGGGCGTTGACCCCCAAAACCCTCTCCAGGTAAGAAGGAGCTCTGCAACAGGCCTACTGGCCCATGTTAGGCAGGTCCAGGTCACTTACCGGCCTAAGCTAGCCAGATCATACATAGTGTATGTAGGTTTATATAGACATAAGTACACATAAGTACAATTGTCATACATAGTGTAAATTACCCAGGTAACCCAAAAAAAGTGAGTGTAAGTTTATTTAGGCACGAGTACACATAAA